CTCTCTCTCTCTCTCTCTCTCTCTCTCTCTCTCTCTCTCTCTCTCTCTCTCTCTCTCTCTCTCTCTCTCTCTCTCTCTCTCTTGCGTGCGCATGCGCACCTACGAACAGAAACATAGCTATTTTGTTCTCTTTGTTTTCCTGTTTTTTTTGGCTTCCGTATTTTTCTTTTTCTTTGGAAATTCGAGTGTCCACAGCAGCGACCGGGCCCTCATTTGGCCAATCCCCGAAAAAAGCGCCCGTAAACGAGTCGCGCATTTTTTTTCAGGGTGGGCCAAGTACTGGTGGCTTAATTCCTGTCTGAAGGGCTTTCCAGAGGGGAGGAATCCACCAGTCAGAACAATGAACAGTAATATGGACTGACAATACATCAGTTTGATCTACTAGGGTGAAAGCACACGAAGCCCAATACGTACCTCGGCCCACATTTTGACCTGACTCACTACCCCCAGTCACAGTCCTCATTCACACCTCATTTCCCAGTCACAGTCCTCATTCACACCTCATTCCCACAGTCGCAGTCCTCATTCGCACCTTATTCCCGCAGTCACAGTCCTTGTTCACACCTCTTGTCACACTGGGACTGTGGCAGGGCTTGCCAATTTTGCAGTCCAGTGTACCTGCTGAGAAATACTGTGACTTGGGCAGAGTTCAGGCTGGACAAAATAGGTTAGGCGGCAGAGGGGATAGTTAGCAGCAGCACTGTTGGTCAAAACAGGTTAGGCCGCAGTGGGGATAGTTAGCAGGAGCACAGACACAGGTTCCATTTAAACCACCAGTACTTCCGAGGCACTTATCTCCGACCGTGGAAATGCCCTGTGCGCTGCCTCCTTTCGGCTGGTGCTGCCAGCTAATTTGCTCCCGAGACTGAGCCCCGAAAGTTGCAGCGCAAATACACAACAAGGGCCCCCAGACTATGTATGGGCCAAGTACTGGTGGTTTAACTTTTGTACAGGACACGTACAACCTGGGGCTAGGTCCCACTTGCACGAATTAAGAGATACCGACCGTAGATAGCGAAGATCAACGGCCGAAAACTCCTAATTTGCGCAAGTGGGACCTTGGCCCTGGTTCCAGGAAGGCTTGGCATTCCGTCTGTTTTTTTGGACCAGCCGCTTATCATGGGCGAATCTGTCAGTCAGAGATTCTTTTTCTTCGTCAGCGGAGGGGTTGGTCCTGTGGGATCAGAAATGTGATGTCCGTGCTCAATCCTCCAACGAGGGAACATGCGGGAACTGCTGCACCCGCCAGCAGGTGGGTGGTACCGGCGAGGGGTCAGCTGGGATGGGCCATTCGGTGTGCCTCCCCTCCGGTCCCCTCCCCGGTAAAACTATAATGACAATAAAAAAAAGGGCCTGAAAGGTAGTCCTGTCCAGATTGTACAGGTAATTGAATTGGTTGGGATTCAAAAAAGGAAAAGGAAAAGAAGGTTATGTGCTGGGTGCGTAAAATGGATGGGCAAGGCTTCGTGATGACCGTTAGATCCATTTTAGCCCAATAAATTATCGGTGGGTCCTTTTGTCCGTGTGACAGAGGGTGATGGGTTTTGCAAGTTCTGCGAGTCCCCCCCACCCCCCTCCGGGTCTGGAAACGCTCCGATGCAGGGCTGGCGCTTCCCCTTCGGAAAAGAAATCAACACCCCTCAGCAGGCAGAAAAGCACGCATTGGCCAACAGATAGAAGGATCGATGTGGCGCATAACGCCCTATAGCGGAGAGCGGCCGGATCCTGTGAATGGATTTTGTGGATTTGGAAAATAGGGGTAATTTTGTTTGACACCCTTGGGCTTTCGTTGCCTACATGTGATCAAAGGATCTCCTTATCCGCCTGACGAGCACAATTCCACCCCATCGCCGCGCACGGTTCCACCACTGGGCCTGGGAGTTCGCCCGGCACCGTTCAGTGAGAGTACTCTCACCCGCATAGCACTTGGCGCGGAACCGATGGGCTCGGTAGATCGTCGAAATAGACGGCTGGGATGGAGTCGGGGTGAAGACGGTGGGAGATGAGCTTCGGGAAGCAGGGCCGGGCGCAGGCTCCCCTAGCTGCCCTGGTTTGGGCGCTGCTCTGCGCCCCCCGTCTACTCCTTTTCACACCGGGAAACTGGATTTCCCGCGCCAACTGCCAGTGCGAGGGATTGGCGTCGGGATTATCCTTATCTGCCTGGCAATCCTGTGGGGGCGCCGCGGCGTGCATTCGGTGCCGGGTGAGGGCGTTAGGGGCGTCGTCGTCACCGTCTGCTTCGTGTTCATCGTCCTCCTTATCCCTCGGTCTCGCTATAGGTTTGGTCAGCAGACACGACGTGACCTGACGTGAAGCCGACGCGACGCGGACGCCCCTCTCCCGCTTGGCTGAGCTCCGGTTGCCGTATAGACTCAAGCTCTGTAGCCATGGCCGCCGCTACGTCCGCGTCTTCGCTTACCGCCCAGTTCGTGGGTCTCAATGCCAAGAGCCTGCAGTCGTCCAAGGCTTCGCTGAGCGGCAGGTCCCTCTGCGCGGGACCGGCCATGCCAGCCAAGGCCGCGACGAGGATTGTCGTGTCGTGCAAGGCGGAGTCGAGCGCGGAGGCAACCACGTCGCGCAGGGCCGCCATCCTGTCGCTCACCTCGGCCGCTGCTGCCGTTGCCGCCCTCACTCTTCAGCCCAACTCCGCCGAGGCCGCGTACGGCGAGGCCGCCAACATCTTCGGCGCAGTCAAGAAGAACACCGACTACATCCCCTACGCTGGAAAGGGTTTCCGTGTCGACATTCCCTCCAAGTGGAACCCCTCTCCTCAGAAGGAGTTCGAGGGCACTGTCCTTCGCTATGAGGACAACGGCGACTCTGTCTCCAACTTCGCCGTGATCAAGAACACTGCTGAGGGCAAGTCGAAGATCGAGGACTTCGGCTCTACCGACGACTTCCTCAACAAGTACTCCTACCTGCTGGGAGAACAATCTTACGCCGGCGCGACGCGCTCGGAAGGAGGGTTCGATAAGAACAAGGTTGCGGCGGCCAACGTTTTCGAGAAGGAGGCCAAGACTGTCGGTGGAAAGACCTACTACGCCTACGAGCTGTTGACGAGGTCGGCCGATGGAAACGAGGGAGGAAGGCACCAGTTCATCACTGCTACCGTGAACAATGGCGAGCTGATCATCTTCAGGGCGCAAGCTGGAGAGAAGAGATGGTTCAAGGGCGCGGAGAAGACCATCAGGGAGCTCGTCGCATCGTTCTCTGCTGCCTAAGTAAGCAACCCGAACCCAGTTCAACGAGGCGCGCAGCTAGCGCAACGGGCGTCCTCCGCTTCCGACTGCCGTGCACGTGTGCGGCGGCTGGGATCCGCCAAGTCTAGCGCAGACATCCCGTAGCTCATGGCTATCCAACGTTTCGTATCGGTTCGGGGGCCGTTCGATCGGTTTCGTGTCGTCGGTACGTCGATCGGACGGACGAACGGCTAGCTGAGCCCCAACCAGCCGAACCCGGCGGGAAGCCCAGTCTAAACCCGCCCAGCGCGGGCGCATGTCGCGCCTAGTATATGTTCAGATTCCATTCTCCTGAAGAGACGGTAATTAACCGGCGTGTGGCCGTTCACACGTGTGCATGGCCGTCTGTGGAGCGTGCGTGCGGAGGTGGGTGGTTGCGTGCTTTCGTTCGTTGGTTTGTCAAGGATGTCCGCTGTGCTGTTACATGGCGCATGTAATTATTTATTTGTAGAGCGAGAGAGAGAGAGAGAGAGAGAGAGAGAGAGAGAGAGAGAGAGAGAGAGAGAGAGAGAGAGAGAGAGAGAGCTATGTGGGTAGTTGACTGCTGCTGGTTCAAAGTCCGGCACCAGGCATGCAGGTGGTTTTGCTACGAACACGAGCTTGTTTCCATTCTCAATCTGAACCGTCGGTCTCCGACTTCGAGCTTGTGCATGTGTCGCTCCCTGGTTGTTGGACGTTAAGCCCTTGACCTTCACCGCCTCTTTTGAATTGGTTTGGTGTTACGTTTGGACACTGACTATGCTTGTGTGTGTTTGGAGGAGTTGGTCATGGCAGGGGTCCCTGTGGGCGGTAGGAAGGGGGACGTTATGATGGCGCAGCTTGGGGACGCGGAGGATTGGGCAGCAATCACCTGAGGAGTGACTTGGACTGAAGGCGGCGTCATTGGCGAAGGCGCCATGACAACTGCCACTGAAGAAACAGCGCGTAAAGAGGCCGGGGGGCGTTGGGCGGGGAAGAGTGGGCGCCGTGGGCAACGCTGCTTGGGCGGTTGGGGAAGTAGGGGAGGTGGGGCCCGAGGCATGGTGGGGGGCGAGAGTGGTCTGTTCTCAGATTCGAACCAACTTACACCAGCTGCGGCAGGTGGGAGCGGGAGGAGGGTGGGTAGGTGGCACGGGCGCCTTCCTTGCCAAGAGTGGAAATCCAAAACAATTTAATCTGCAAATAATTCCAAATGACCATGTTCTCCCCGAAGCTGTACAAACAATGCCATACTTTTTCGGAAGAGGAAATCCCTCCCCCC